ATCCATATTATTAAATTGATATAAACATTAAGTGGACCAAATCGGGAACACATGAATCTATTTTTCTTCGATCCCTTTTCATATATAAGGATTCTTATGGATTCTAGTCTTCTTATGGATACTGGTCTTTTAGAAAAAGTTTTCAATTTTTATTATTTTACAATTAAGCAAAAAAAAAACAAAACAAACGATGGAGAGTATGGATCATATAGGCCTATATTAAAATTTCTCATGAAAAGCTAGCCCTTATATGGCGACTATGTCGAATTTGTAGATTTTTCTAAGGGCAATAATCGAAAAATAATCAAATCTTGGCCAAGTATATTAAGTTTGTAAAATCTGGACCGGATTAGGTGGCGTTTTGAGTATTCTCCAATAGGTGGGATTTCGTGAAAATCACGCATTTTTGATGTATTATAATAAAAACGAATGAATGACCATAGGAAGCGAAGTAACACGGTATATTTAATAGTCGGGCTTGCCCGAAAGTAACATTCGTACTTGGTTGTACTCAATACTTGTAAACCCATTTCGTTTGTATCGCACAATTCGTTACATGTAATTTTCTATTTATATGTATAAAAAAAAAAAACAACTATTTCATTATTACTTAACCTTTACATACTAACTTTACTTTCTTTTTGCTCCTATTTGATTTTTCACGCCTTAAAAAAATATTTTTCCATTGCTATGAGAGAAAGAGTTAGAAGAATGCTATTGTGCAGCTATTGTGACCAGGAAAGCAATTGTATGATTTAAATGATTTTATATTTTACTTGCAGGCATTGCTAACCAAGAGCGACTTTATTTTTTTTTCTTTTGTTTCATTTATTATTCCTTCAGGTTTTCATCTGTTTTGTATGGTATAGGAGTCGTTTGCTTTTTTCTTCTTCTTCTTATTCTTATTCTTCTTTTAATATGCAAATGCTGGAACTATTCGTATGCTACTTGTGTTCGCATCAACGTACGTGCGTACGGATTCGATTCTCTAGCCACACCACAGTAGCATAAACAGATTTATTTTATTATATTGTTTGCAACAACTAGTAGAATAACACGTAGCATAGTTTATATAAGGTACTGTAAAGAACAAAAATTTTCGGCCAGTGTTTCGCTCGTCGGTTTTTCTCAAAAGAAAATTTGCATTTTTTCGGACCACAATTGAAATTTGTTCCCAGGCACCGCGTCTCCTTCCGGATAACCTTACACTTGCCAAGTTTCCAACTATCGATCCGCACAAATGGGAAAACTTCATTTAATTCATATACATAAGGCTTTCACGCTCTTATCTAGATCACTTTATTTTCACGAAATTAGCTTTACTCACTTGGATTCTAAATCGAACATTGGGGTCAGTTAGCTGCCGAGCAGATTTTCTTTGATTGAACGGAGCGTCTTTGGCACTCTCACTACTACAGTCATGGAAAATTATAACTTTATGTAAACCTTTGTAGACCCTTTATTAGCCGAATGTTGTTGGCACTCTGGCAACTAGACTTTCTCTATGCCTCGGTTTAAGCTTTTATAGGCGTTGCCGATTCTTTTTCATTCTAATTCGAAATTGTACATTTTAGCGTAGGTAATAATCTTACCAAAATCTGTGGCTAAACTTATGCCCAACCTAAAATACCTTGCACCTAACTTGTCTTGAACCCACGTGTGGGACCAAAATCAGGCGGAACAACCAATTTCATTGCATATTTTTGATTGTAATATTCTTCAGTAAGCATGTCCGTCTGGCTTGGTTTGCAGAAACTGCTTTATAATGCTTTGGTATTCGGAATAAAAAACTGAAACTCAACGGCTTAAAAAATAGCTTTGATCTGCTTATAAAAACATAATCAATAGGTTTAAAAAATAATTATCGAAATTTCAAAATTTCTTTCTCAATATGCTCGCAAGCAAGATGTGGTATAAACAGTTTAATCAATTCGCTATTACTTAATATCCTTTTTATATATTTAGTACATTTTAATTTTTTTTTTTAATTTATATTATTTTATATTATTTTTTATCTCTATTATTATTATTATTATTTTATTTATTGAAAATGTAAAACTTACCTATATGTTTATATATATTCAGCTCCATATGAAAAGTATCAGCTGATATAAAATATCTTAGAACTAAATTATTGAATAACTGGAGTATGGTAAACAAATATTACTCTAGATCGCGAAAAAAAAGCTATGATTAAATATTAGGTGCTTTCAAGTATTTTGATCAGTTCTTCACTTGAGAAAAATTAGTACAAAATCTGTTAATCAAAATATTTTCCATCGTTTCCTACAAACTTTCTCATTATCTAATTCACCAATAGATGTCGCTGATCAAAGTACATGCAAGCAGGCATGTGCTTTACCAGTTATTACTATTACTACTATTATGTAAATCTGTTAGATGAAAGTTATGAAGATTGAAGAAGATTGAAAAGACATCACATATTAGACCTCTGCTCCATAAAGACACATTGTTAATAGTCTTAATGTAAACTCAGAACATGAAGCCAAAAATTAAACCACTGACTGGAATTAAACTATTATCTTACATATATATATATATGCCTTACGTCATCCATAGATGAATGTCACGCGCCCATATTGACTTCAAATCATTATTAGTGTTATTGTTACCTATTGCAATTAAAATTTTATTTATATATATATTTTGTCTTTTATAAATTGTTTTCGTTTTTTTTTAAATTTTTTTATATTTTATAATTTTTTATTTATAGGTAATTTTTTTTTTTTTGGTTTTAGTATTCATTCCTCTAATTTTTTTATGTAATCATTATTTATAAACATCATAATAAAATGGAAGCTTATCATTATTGCAATTTCCAGTCGTGCATATGTAGACTTCATCTATAAAATTTGAAATCGCTTATCTCTTCTCCGTCAACAATTTTTTAACCAAACCAAAATCAAGAAAAAATAAATAAATTTGCTTATAACTTAATCTTGTATATAGCTTAACATTCAAAATGCATGTAATCCGTTCATAATTAGCCATTTTCTTAGAAAAGGCCAAAAAAGTTCTTAATTCTTATAAGATTTTATTAATAGCACGAAATGCCGTCACGCAATTCAAAAGAAGTATTGCTCAAAGTCATCCATAAAAACGGCCCCAATTCTTTACTTAAAAAAAAAAGCAAGAAAGTTATAGTAGGACACGGCCGGCCGTGAGATACCATGCACCACTTCGCCCTCAGCTATTATTATTCAGTTCCATGCTTTTAATGATAATTCCTATATATATTTGGTCCGTATTACCTAACTCTTAATGATTATACCGTCTTACCATAAAAAGGTTCAGTTTTCATAGGAATGGTTATATGAGGGAGTCTTCAAAAACTACTGTTTTTCAGCGAATTTTATCGCACAAAGTTGAAAATTGAAATTTTTTTTTCATCTTTCAAAATAAGACGTTAATCGGAAATTATCGAAAAATTAGACCGATTCGAACCAGTTTTAGGACGCCATGGATACCAAATTTCATGAAAATATTTTGAAAATTTGCGACCAGCAGGTTGACCACAAGAATACATGGATTGGAATCAGACGGACAGTTAGACGTACGGATGAACAGACTGACAAAATGGTTCTCAATCAATCGGTGTAGGAAAAGCTGGATCTATTTTAAGTCTTTCTGGAGGTTACACACATCCGCACAAACTTAATATATCCTATGACACAAGTGACATGTAAGGTATAATTAATTAATTTACTTAGATAAAGAGTAGGTAAGTTTCGTCTTATATATGTATGTAGGATAAATCTAGCCTTCTGAGGACTTTTGTTTTTTTTACGCTCTTCTTTTCAAAATATTGCGAATATAGCAGAGCGACTGTCAACGGGTATCAACAATTTCGCTGCAAGCTATATAAAATTTCTCGCTTTACGTTACTTACTGATTTGTTACGGATTTGTTAACATTTGCGCTCCAACTTTTTTTTTTTATATTTCTTGCGTATGTATGAAGTTGGTGCCGGTTAGTGGCTACTAACACTGACGCTCCTTGATTTGTCATTTCTTTTTCAACTGTTCGTATAATGCACATACCTTTACTGATTCCTTCTTCTTAACAATTCTTAACGCATCGTATATATAAAATTTATTTACTTGAGTTTATTTTAATTTTAACGATTTTGTACACCACTTGACTTAATATGACTTGAGTTTGTCAGCAAACGTTTTCTTATTTGCTTTTTTTTGCAAACTGACTGTTATAGGATATTATTGGCTGGAAAATAGCTACAAAAAAACAATTAAAACTTTTAAATATACGCACGTAGCCAAGATCATTATACTCTCTCAGGTATGAGTTTGGAATGAAATAAAGTTCTAGTGGCAGCTAATTCGCAAATCAATCAGTTCAATGCGCTTATCTAAAGCTTGCTAATATTAACTGCTTAGAAAGGCCATCTATTTCGGCTTCAACCCTTTCGTGACATATGCCGGCACTCACTTACCGCACAATAACGGCTGATGCCATCTAAATGACCCCTTTCACATATGCCATATATGTTGACGACTACTTATGCCAACTATGGACAACAAACTATGGCGCGTCGCGAAAGGATTAAAAGCCTTAAAGGGAACTTTGGCTAGACATTTGGGGATACTTGCCTTTGGATACTCCTTTGGACATTTGCGCCTACACTGCGATAGCTCACTCTGTTTAATTTAAAAAAAAAAATAAAAATTTGCTTTTATTTGAAAGTTCTTCTTATGTACCACAGCTCCTGAAGTGGTTATCAAAAAATTCCTTGTCAAAAATCTTACGAGAACATTACGTGAATACCCCCTTCTCATATTCATTCAACGATCTTTCATAATTAAAACAATACGTGAAATGCTCAGCTGGTATTACGGTATCAATAATTTTCATTAAATTTTTCCACAAATATTAAAATTGTAACAAAAACGTTAAAAATTACGGATTATTTGCTTTAATTAATCAGAAATACTCGTGAAAAGACAGCATTTTTATACAAAGTGATGGAAAAAGATAAAATACTAATGGCTGTTGGTTTTACATTCGCAGCTGTAGTAGGAGCATATGTTTTCTGGAATCCTTCGGGTGCATCACGTTTACGTCAGCGTCGAGGTGAGATAGTAGGTCTGCACAACTTTGGCCAGACATGCTTTTTAAATACTCTACTGCAAGCTTTAGCAGCTTGTCCGCAATTTATCGCATGGTTGCAATTGTACAATAATGCGACACTGGGTCGCAAATATCTTATTAGCTCATTGCTAAATACTTTGGAAGTAATTAATGGCACCCACGCAACTTTACGCGGCAATCCTTACTCACCCAGGGATGTTTTGCACGCTTTGAACTTCTTGGGTCGGATTAGACTTCAGGAGGAACATGATGCCCACGAATTATTTCATATTATGCTGTCTTCATTAGAAGAGGAAGTTCATCGCCCAAAGCAAGTGTATTCCTTATCGGACGCTTTGCCTATAGGTGAGGATAACGGCAAGCTACTCAATCAGCCTTCAAGTGCCATGGTAACTGATTTTCTGTATGCTGGTAATGGTGAGGCCATCGGACTTCCACGCTTAGAACGCACACCTGATTCACCGGCATCCGTCGTCGAAAGGGAATTAGCGGGAGATCATTTGTCAATGAAAGCCGAACCAACCGATTTTCTGGAAGCTGATCTGCTTGCCATGCCCGCTCTTGGAGACCAAATCGACAGACGTAGTCGTTCAAAGCAAGTTATTAGCAAACGAGTATCTAATTCGTACCGGTCGTTCGAACGTTTAAGCCGCGGTCCCGGCAGGTTGTCTATTTGGCCTGAACAAATGCCTACACAAGTACCACATCCATTTCAAGGCACTCTAGGGACTCAAATCATTTGTAACGCCTGCGGCTTTAAGTCGACCGTGCGTTATGACAAATTTGATAGCATCACCTTAAATTTGCCCTTACAAAATCGTGCAGGTCTCAGTTTGGACCAATTGTTAAGCGATTACATAACATCGGAAGATGTTGCGGATGTCAAATGTGAAACATGCAAAGAAACCACTACTCACACGAAGTCTTTGACATTTGCGAAATTACCGGCTTGTCTCTGTATACATATTGCACGCACCATTTGGTTACCAACAGGGCAAGTGTGCAAGCGTCAAGATTATGTACATTTCCCTGAAAGCTTGTCAATGGCACCTTATACTTTCGTACAACCACATTTAAACAGTCAGACTGGTACTCCATGGGATTCTACTATGTCATTGCTATCTTCTAGTCTACCTATGAACAATTCGGGTGAATTATATGGAAGTGTGGTCAGTAAATTTGGACCTATGTTTCTTCGCAGTCCCTATCGCTTATTGGCTGTGGTCGTGCACTCAGGTGAAGCTAATTCCGGCCATTTTGTTACTTATAGAAGAGGTGCTCTGCATAACGCTCATCGTTGGTACTATACTTCCGACGCCGTGGTGCGAGATGTTTCAATTGATGAGGTTCTAGGTGTACCGGCATACTTAATATTCTATGACCGTCATTCTCAAAGGCGAATGCGTTAATTGGGTTTATTTGGGTTTAGTATTTTTTCGCATTTTCGAGTATTACTTTTGTCAAAGAACTCCTCTCCGTTTGACCACTACCTATACCACTTATCGTACGGGGATATACTTTCTTCGCGCGGATTTATGCAACGACGGGAAGGACTTAAGACAGGCGCAACTTATACTTTCGATTTAAGCTTTTCCGTCCGTTTATACGTCTTGATTCCTTGTCATTAACCTACAGATTTCAATTTTCAAGATATTTTGATGAACATTGACATTTCTTTCGTTTCAATTCGCGCCAATTAATCTAAGTTTGTCTATCCGTCCGTTTATCTTTTTTCTTGTATATATCGTCCAATACAAAGAATACAATTTTTGACACTTTTTCGTAAGACTACCTTTTTTTTGATATAAAGACGAACGTTTCGAATCAGTCTACTTTCTTGATCATGCCACAGCATGGCCTTGGTGAAACTATTCTCCAGCAGTGAAATTATCTTCGTTTAATGGAAACGCTACTATAGCCATCCAGTTGACTTGTTTCTTCCTAAGCGGTGTAGTCATCACAAAATTATCCCTATAACCGAATATTTGTAAGCCTTTGGGTTTATCATCTTTTAAAGAGCAATACCCGAATTCATAGGCACTTTTATATATGTACGTTCCTTCGTCTCTAAAAAACACATACTTTTTTCTTGTAGAAAAAATTATAATTAATAAAAATAATTATTATAAATTAAAGAGAAGAAAACGCAAAATACGTAGAATATCTCGAAAAAATTTTAAGTTTGGGAGAAATTTTGTATTCGTATGAGAAAAATTGGGGAGGAGATTGCTTAAAGCACACTTCGGGCCATATTTCCGTTTAAGTCTTCGCCTTTACGCCTTCATAGTCGCGCTGTGGCCGCTTACTATCCTAGCATGTTTGAAACAAATTGAAGAGACGAATCTGAAGTCTTCATCTAGTAGCTGCATCAATATAAATGGGGGAATGTGGGCAGGACATCAATGAAGTTATTAAGAATGAACTTCAAAATTTTCTGTAAAAAACTACATATCTGAGAACGACTAATGGGCGCGTTTATTTACTAATAGACAGTTCCTGTTGGCCTTTGAAATTTAAAATTTGTTCTATGTTCTTTAAAAATTAAGAAAAAGTACAGAGGTTTCATTGATAAAATTTTCGAATGCGTAGATTGTTATTCGCCCTTATCCCTGCGCAATGTCCCCTTAGCAATGAAGCACTACATTATAAATAATTCCTGTTACTATTTACTGCTTATTGATCAAATATTGCCAATGTGGATAAGATCGGCGCGTTACCTTAAGGATGAACGCGCGAGGCCCCTCATTATGATGCAGGTTACAACTTTAGTGCATCTATTTTAATTTATTGCCAAGATGATTTTGGGCTTTATCTCAAGTTTATTACAATTCCTCCGATGATGCAATCCCTAATGTTTCATATTTGGCTTTCAACAAGACTATGAAAAGCAATAAGCAATATCTGCTAGCGCGACACTGGATGTTGATCGAATATTTTCGAGTCGAACTGTCAAAAAGGTGAAATAACGCAGAGGTAGACAATATTTTTCCTCAACGGGCCAATTTTAATATTCTTATCAAACAGCGGCAGCCTTAAAAAGGTCTAATAGTGTAGGCATATACGACTCATTTGCAATATTGCTATGTGCGAGCAAGTTGAATTATTTGAAACTTTGAATGTTGCAGGTCGAATTCGATGAGTTCACGGCCTAACAGTTGCCTACGTTCAAATAGATCACTGCTAAACATCTTAACAATATAATAACATTTTTAAATTATTGAAACTTTTTCATTTATATATATCATATATCTTTAGTTTCGGATTCAAAACTCAAACGGTAGAGTTTTCAACACTGGCGTTCAAACGTTCTAAATCATCTGGCAGCTTTCAAATTCATGCTTCATGTAAATTTATTTACAGCCAATAGATAAAAGCTTCGCTTGATGGAAAAATTCGCTCAATCAATTATCCACCCAAAGACGCCTTCCGTCTATCGGAGTACAGTCTTCCGTCTATCGGAGACGCCTTCCAACTAGATTGAATGAAGGTCGTCTTTTCTGCAAAATTCAACTTTTCGTTACTTTTAGACAGCTTTCTGAAGTCGAGTTTATAGCACGGGAAATTAAGATGCTTAATAGACTCAACCCTACATATGACAAAATTTATTTAAAGACGATCGGCCAGACGTCATCTGGGGAGTAATCGTGTATGCAGGTGATTATCGTCTGGGTTTTTTAAAGAGAAAATTGATTATCGCCAAGAGTCTAACCAGGTACCATCGTCGCCAATACTTTCTCTCAAAAATTCCATATGATAAACAATAAATAACAAGCGAAATCAAATGAAAAAAAAATTATGTAAAATGCGTGTTAAGCTAAATTTACCCTAATTTAGCTCGATATTTAAAAAAAAAAATTGCATTTACTTTTATCAAATTTTTTTTTCTTCTTCTTTACAATTCACAAATTTCAGATTCATTTTTGAATTAAGAATTGATTTTTTAACAACCGTTTTTATTTTTCTTTTGCAACTGTTTTTTTTACAAATACAACTCTGTGGTAACTAGGCTTGGTTTGCGCTCAATACTAATGCAAATTTATTCTCAGCAGTAACAATTTCATTGTCGTCAGATTTGATGTAACTGAGAGAGCGCGTTTGGCGATAATCGCCAGAAAATTTACCTACATGATTAGATTCTCTTGGCGATTGTTGCTTAGTTCATTGTCGCCTGCTTAAATGATTAACCCCCTGATATAGGGGACGAAATGGTTGAAATGTAATATATAATCTTTTTTATATAAATGTATCAAAAATATAAATTCATCTCCCCTTGTACGTCTCCTGAATAGTTTTATACAATTTTTATTGATATATTTTGCGTGGCATGGGGGACGAGTGTCGCACAAAAGAATTATCTAAGCATCTTATTAAATTCAAACAACACTACAAATTTGATGTTAACCGATCTGAAATTTATTAGCTGCTTAAGATGACTTTTGTTGCATCAAAAATATTCATTATATAACCTGTATCATCAATTTATTTGTTATCATTATTGCTGCTGTTATCCCTTAAACTTAAACTCGAAAGAAGACCTTGATTTCAAACCTCAAAATGTTACTGGATGTATAGGTGTTTTATTGTTTACAGGCCTGATTCATTCCTCTTTTATATATCAAAGAACAAGAAGATTATATTCGGTCCTGACCGGATCTATCACACCCATCGGCGTAAAAATTAGAAGATCAAAATTCTCATGCCCTGATTTTTTCTATTTTCGAAATAAAAGTTTTTGTCGTATAGGCGTATGGGCATTGTCGGCATGTCCTGCTAAAAGTTTAAGGTATTCCCAAATTCTTCATTTTCGCTACCGGGACAATGTTTACCACAAATACTACACAGTTGCGCAGACGAACAGATTGGCCAATAAATTATGTATTTTATATTTTCCAAGCTTGTTTCTGCGCCTTGGAAAGGCATTGAAAAACAATTCAATTTTAATGCACTACAACATTGGGTGGTCGTGGTCAATTTGTTCTATTTTTATATAATTGCTACAGCATCACCCATGGAAAATGCGAACAAATTTTTGTACATTTATCCGCTATAGTTGATGAGTAATGACCAAAACCCTATTTTTTATTGCTGTTGAAAAATAGAGATATCCTCAGAGTTTACGTAGCACATTAGTTATATGCTTCAACCGGTTTGGCCCATTTTTAACACCAACCTGCAAGCAAGAAATTCCAATGTTTCAGCCAAATTTGAACTCGATAGCGGCAAGGAGAATGTTTACGAAAGGCATTACACAGACGGACAGATGGACATGCTGAAATTAATTTGTAATTTAATGCTGATCAAGAATATATACATATACGTGGTGGGGTCTCTGATGCACCTTTCTGGGCGTTACAAACGTTTCAGAAAACCAAGTATACCCTTCATCCTAATAAAGTAATTTTCAAAACATGCTTGAAAGCAGCTTTTAGAATATGTTTCACTTTTCATAGAAAATTTTAAAATCGAAAATTCACAAATTGTCGGCTTTATTTATTAACTTTTCTTTTTTTTTGTTCGTTTCTGTTTAAATAAAAACAAAATTCAATTTAAAGGAAAAATCTTGTTGTTGTTTTGAAAAATTATTGCAAATAATTTTAGTAAACACGCATTAACCGAACGATGAGCGAACGCGGTAAACTTTTAAAACATGAATCAAGCCATGGAGAGTCAAGCGATGATGAAGATTATCATGGACCGTTGATCAGATTGTCGGCTAGAAATTTGTCAATAGTTAAGACGAGTCACTGCTCCTGCGTTAATGCGATGGGAACGAACGGGAATGTCTGCAAATGTGATTCGAAAGTATATGATGTCAAGGCACGTACATCAAAGCAACTCTTGGAAGCCACACAAAGCGGCCGCAGCAGCAGTAGCGGCGATGAGGAAATTGAAAAAAGCCTACGACGTTCGCAATATTTGGGCATAAATATAACGCCGAGTTTTATTCACTCTCAAACTGATTATCAACGTGTCTTCATAAGTCGCGAAGCAGCTGTCGACTTTAATACGTCAGAATTGATGAAATGTTCACAATATTTACAAAAGGCGATCGAATTGCGTAGCAATTATATGCAAATGTCTAAACAAAACTATTCGCTTTCGGCGTACAATGCCATACAGGCGAAGAAAAATGGAAAATTGCGAAATTATTTCGAGACAAAAAAAACTGTAGAGCCTTCTAGCCGATATTATCTAAATTATGATCCTTGGAAAATTGACTTTCCACCAGATTTAAGTTTAAATTTAAAGATCAACAAGGGCGTGTTTGAAGTGTATGACTTAAAGACGAATCCAGTCTATGCTTTATATCCGAAATTGGAAGAATTCAGTAATGATTTGGGCGCTATGCTCGATCTTTTGGCGGATGGTCCTCTTAAAACATTTTGCTATAGACGTTTAACATACTTATCATCAAAATTTCAAATGCACGTTTTACTTAACGAAATGAAAGAGTTGGCTCAGCAGAAAGAAGTCGCTCATCGCGATTTTTACAATTTACATAAGGTCGACAATCATATACATGCGTCATCGTGTATGAATCAAAAGCATTTGTTACGTTTCATTAAGCGAGCTTTGAAGCAAACACCCGATCTGGAAGTTTGCGTCGTTGATGGGAAGCCTATGTCTTTGGCTGGCGTCTTTAAGGCAATGAATATTACAGCTTATGATCTCACAGTTGATAAATTGAATGTACATGCCGATCGGAATACATTTCAACGACCGGACGAATTTAAATATCGTTTTAATCCAACGGGTGACACTTTATTGCGTGAGGTTTTCTTAAAGACAGACAATTACGTAGATGGTTCATTTTTCGCCGAGATCATAAAGGAGGTCTTTATGGATTTGGAAGACTCTAAATATCAAAATGCGGAACTTAGATTATCCGTGTACGGGAAAAATATAAATGAATGGACCAAATTGGCGAAATGGGCTATCACGCATAATGTTCACAGTCACAATGTGCGGTGGTTAGTGCAAATAGCTCGAGGATTTGATAATTTGATAAAATATGAATTGGTTACGACATTTCAAGAATTCTTAATCAATATTTTCTCTCCGCTATTTGAGGCGACCATAGCACCGAACAAACATCCGGAATTGCACAGATTTTTAAAATTTGTTGTAGGCTTCGATTTAATAGGGTATGAAGCCATCCTCGAGGATTTGAAGTTGGATAGCGAGACGATACTACCCGAAAATTGGCGCGGACCCGAATCTCCGTCTTATGCCTATTATGTTTACTACCTTTTTGCGAATATATGCTGTTTAAATAATCTGCGACAGGCACGCGGTATGAATACTTTCGCCTTCCGCCCGCATAGTGGCGAAGAGGGCAGCTATCAACATTTAGTTTGCAGCTTTCTGACAGCACAAGGTATTTCACAAGGCCTTGTTTTGCGCAAGTGTCCCACTCTACAATATCTCTACTATTTGTGTCAAATTGGTATCGCGATGAGTCCCTTATCGAATAATTGTCTTGTGCTTAGTTACCATCGCAATCCAATGATGGACTTTTTCTCACGCGGACTTTTCATTTCATTATCAACCGACCATCCGTTACATTTTCATTTTACCCGCGAACCTTTAATGGAAGAATATAGCGTAGCTGCACAAGTCTGGAAATTTAGCTCTTGCGATATGTGCGAATTGGCTCGTAATAGTGCGTTAATGTGTGGCTTTCCGCATGAATTGAAAATCGAATGGCTGGGTCCGAATTATCAAGTCGAAGGATTGCTTGGCAATGATTTTTATCGCACTAATGTGCCCAACGTAAGAATTTCATATCGGACGGAAACTTTGGCTGAAGAGATAGCCAATGTGCTGAGCAACGACGATGCACAGGAAACGTTCTAACTAAAAGATGTAGAAGAAACAAGGAGAAAATAAAGATAGTCGAGGCGACTAACAAAATGATTATAAAATTATCAATAAAATCTAAAACTGAAACAATTCTTTTTTACCGGTACAGTCCTGTACATTCACATGCATACAATCTATAGTTAACATGATCTCTATATGGCAATTTATTTCATTGGAGATCCTCTAGAATTCTGGCTGCCACCATGTCCAATGTAAGAATGTTTACTTTCTCAGTTACGCCGTTTAGTCAAAAGTTGGCATTACCTCATTCGCCACTGTAAAACCCCTCATGAAAAATGTTTCTCTTTACAATTTAACTAAATGTTTCAGTTTCTGAAAAGTGGAAGAAGTCGATGATAAACTCGGGTCATCATCAGCATTCCCACAAAGGATTGCAAACTTCTTTACCTTATGGCCTTACGGCTGATTCGAGCTTTCTTCTTACGTGCGGCTACATCAGGATAAGAATAATTTGCAAATCATGTTGAACCTTGTCATACTATGATAAGTTATATTTTCCACCCCATTGTCTTACATTAAGGACGTATAGCGTCATTTTCTGCCTATTGCCGCCTAATATGGACGATCGTTCATTATATTTTTTCTACATTATCACTAGATTACTATTACTTTCAATTCGTAAATTTTACGCAATAGCTAAAAGTACTTGGAACATATTTTGATGCATGAGATATTTATAATTTATTGCAATTAAAAAAGTGAAGGAAGCTCTTTCAATGGGTTAAAAAACTGTATATATATTATTCATAGTACATGTGGGTATACATGCAGCATATATACAATATATATAGTATACACGGTAGATAGATATGTATAGCGTATATATCTCTATATTACACATATAGAATATAAATATATGTAGTATATATGTCTCTATACTATGCATATATGATAATGTATGTAGCATATATGCCTCTATACTATACATGTATATATGTATGCATATATTATATCGTAAATGTAGTATTCACATATGTCCACAAAACTTAATTAAAAAGCACACACTTGAAAAAAGGAGGTAAGCTTCTGCTAACTTAATGGATGAAATTAAATCTCTCATGCGATTTTTTCATAAACTCCATGCATTGAAATTTTTTCGTGTCTAACAAACACGCTTATATTAGCCTTTGACAGCAAGTTTAAGGCATATTTTTCGGCTCTCGTGGAGATAAAACATAATACGTAAATTCCAAATGGAAAAGTACTATAGCATTAGTTTTAAGTAATGAAAAGCAATTTCTTTTTCAATATTTTTCTATAGAAGACTTTTTTCTTTTTCTTTGTTTTAATCCCCTGGGAACTGCATTTTCATGCAAATTATGTGAAAACTTATCAAAGAGATCAGGTAAAAGGATTCATCGTCTTTAAATAAAAGAAATTCAAAAACCTTCCTTATACTTTGTGCAAAACAGACAATGGCGAAAGATCAAATTTGGAAATTCCTAAACACATTATATATACGCAGCTGGGAAAGTAACATATATATACTCTTAAGGGAGGATTTATATATATTGTTTTAACAATTGTTGTTGTTAAGGTTAACGGAGTCGTTGCTGCAAAAAAGTAAAAACTGGATTAACAAAATTTCGGCTATTGTTAGCTGAGAAAACGTAAAAACCATTTTCGTGAATGCATACGAAATTAAAATTTTACGCATAAAGCCATTTACTGTAAACAGTCGTCTGTGAAATTTCATTTATATTTTTCCCAAGTAACAGAAACGCCTCTTTCAAGGTGTAATTGTTTTCTAGAAGGTTCGATGCCGTAGCTAGAATCATATGACTACAAACTGCTTTATTCCTCTCAACCGTATAAGCAGAATTTTTAAACCTTTGTTTTTTTTTTGTGTATAGTCTTCCCTTTTTCTCTGCAAAACGGATTATGCATATATATATATGTATATATATATATATATTTCTCTCAATACAGACGTCGAACGTGCAAGAAAAGTCCTTTCAATCAAACTTTACTTCCTTTTATGCTAACTTTCCTTTTACAGAAGCCACATACGCGTTTGTTTTCCTCGGGATTTACCACCTTGGGATCTTCTATAAACTATGGACTTTTTGCAAAATTTCTCTCACTTAGTTACTAATTCCTATTCTTGGTCTTTAAAGATGAAAGCACATGCAAACAGGCTTTTCAAACTGTTTTTTTTTTTTCTAAAAACACTTGACGACTCCACTATTTGTCTCTTTCTTATTCTGCTTCTTGTCTTCTTTCATAGACCCCGTTTACGAATATTCTAGTACATTCTAGAAACATTTCGACAATTTCTCTTTCAATACTTCCTTATATAGTAATCCTTTTTTTCCATGAAACTTTGAAGATGTCGTAGCCATCTTTCAAATTTCCCCTTTTAGACGCTGCCTAGAACCTTCCATGATTATGCCATTCATCGTTCTTCTCTCTATAAGCGATGGAATTCAGTTTTTTTAATGAACTGCTCATTTTGTCATTCTTGACCACCATTTACTTCGAGGCATCAGATTACTAAACTCCGGAGGCTTTTCTTTTTAGGAAACTTTTAAATTATTCTAAACTTATTAATAAAATAGGTCATAAATCCACTGTTTCAACACATCGAAGTCTGCGCCGAAAATACTGGAGTCTTTGGCCTGACACAACCCTCCAATATCTAGCAAAACAAATGGCACAAATTTCTTTCTTCCGGAGAAGTTTAGCTATTGTTTTTTCATTTCAAGACTACGAAGAAAACTATTTTAATTTTTTTCTTTAATTACGCAACCTAACCTAAAATCGTTTTATTATAGGCTTATTATTCAATTTTACAAAAGGTAAAGTGTACATTATAAACCAAGTCCGTTTGAATAACATATCGAGAAAAAGAAACTAATTCAATCAGCTTTTTTTAAAGAAAGCTTCTAATTTGTTCCAGAGAAATGCAATATTTTTCGATTTCCAGACTATTAAGAATAACAATTTTTTTACTGTTACTTTTAGAACCTAACCTCAAATTGTTTTATTATTGTCTTATTTTTCCCCTTTAACCTAATAAAAGATGCAAAATGCTTTCCAAACCTTTTTCTAATTTTTCGTAAAACTTCATGTCAATTGTTCGCTGGAGAGAGAATAAAAACTGTACTTCTGGGAATTAACCTATTCGTAAAATCGTTCGGTTTTCCGCTTAAAAAAAAAAACGAAAAGGTACAAAAACGCTTTTCAACTTATTCTTCAACTCTTTCTTTTTTTCAAGGCGCTTTTAAATATCTTCCATAATCTCAGTCTAACCTAAAAATAATTTTTTAAAAACTCTGGCGTTTCAAACACTAAGGGTCATGAGAACCTACGAAATTGCGGTATTTCTCTGGAAGGTATCAATTTCTCAAAATTTCTTCGTAGTCGAAAGTCACCACCTCAGAAGAAAAAAGTTGCTTTCTCTTTAGAGGAATATTAATGGAATGTGCAAAAATCACTGGTTCTCCGTTTTTCCTCTCCACACACCTCGAACCCTTCCCAATTCAGTCACATCAAAGGACTCCTTTGACGAAACTGTTGCCCTAATTCTACAAAGTCCTAACAAAAAGCATTTTACGAATTTATGCACACGCCTTGCTAACTGTGCTTTACATGCCTTAAAAATTTTGTCTATTCTAGAATAAATTTTGCTAAAATAATATTTGCTATTTTTTTTTTCCAGCTTTCAAGCAAATATGAAAAAAAAATTAATTCTAAATTTTGTTTTTCTTTACGTTGTTCGCAATTTCATTTACAGGCCGGGGATTGTGCAATATGTTTTTTCCATTAACACATAATTGCAACAAGCCACGGCCTTCAAATAAACATGCTTTTCTTTACTGTGTCACTTACCCAAAAGGACTAAAGAGAAAAAAAAATTTTTTCTTTCTTTAAATGGCCAGCATAACCTCAAATTGCACTTTATTGTTTGGCGGCAAGTTAAAAAGAACCTTGTTTCCCATTCGGCGCAACAATTCTTAGAAAAAGAAATCATTAGTAAAAAAAATTAATGATAATTATATTGAACTTTTATATATAACTTGCCACTCGCATTCCGAAGTTGGCATGTGTATTCGGCAAACTTCTTTAGTAAATTGAAGCAAAGCGATATTCCGTTAAAACGGTAAATACCAGCGCAAGTTACTTCTTTGATTCCGTTTTTTCTCTTTTGTCTAAGATTGTTTGATTGCTTTGAATTTCAAATAACAAATGAAGATGAAAATCTCTTTTGAAAATTAGGCAAATGTGTGCCAAACGTAACACAAGGAAATTATTTAGGGTTACCAAATCTACAAAGATTTTTTTAGGGTTTTCGTTTTCATTTTTTTTTTGTAAAAAGTTATAATATTAAAATATGTCCTCGTAAATCTAATATGTATTATTTGTTTTTCGATTTATTAAATTAAATTACACAAATATATCGTAAGAATTTGTACAATTCCTAAAACTATGTAAATATATACGATTGATTGCAGTAAGAAAAAGAAAAGTTATTGTAATTATAAAATACGTATGGAAATATTTAAAAACTAGTATGTTATCGTAGTTTATACCACAGTAATAGCAAGTTTCTAAATACGGTATTTATAAAACCTATGACTTTATCTAATAGAACTAAGTTTACTGCTTTACAAAATGAAAGATTTTTTTCTATTCTTTATTGAATTTTATAAAAAACAAACCTTTACATGATAAATGAGTTCAAAGTTTTTGTTTCTTTACATTTCCTCCATTTTTCTACAGCAAAGATGATATTTGAAGAGAACTACGACAAAAGAAAGCTTCATATCGTAATAATAGCTAAAATGAACACGAGGGACAAATGGAAATGAAACAATTTAAGATAATATGTTTTTCGTCTCTGTCTGCTATATCAATTTTATTTATTAAGCTTTTGGTTTGAAATGGTCATTTGGCATGATTTAATATTTCTGAGTTACGGTCATGGTATTTCTCTCCATGCCTGAAAATTTGCTCATTTTGTTTCATATTTTAAAACATGACTGGCCTGCAGCAAGTGCGCTCTAAGAGCAAATTTAAAAATAAATAATGTTAAATAAAATTTTTTTATATATTTCATTAGATTTATCATATGTAATTTTCTTTTTTATTTTTGCGCACTTTTAGAAATTGAAACAGTTCTTCAGTTCGCAAGTAATAAGAAAACATATGTTAATTGGTCATTGCAAGTTTACATAGCAACCTCCCTCTGTGAGATTTTTTAATACTTTCTGTAAGGTGACCAAGGCGGCGAGTTTATACATATATATATATGCACGTTTTTAGTCTATTCACCATATACAATATTATATACAAGATCAAAATGATAGTTGGGCACTCAATCATTTTTGGCAATTTTTTTATTTATTATAAGCGACCCTGTGCTTTGCCTTTCAACAGTGAATTTAGCGAGGGTTTTGTTTAATTTGATAATAAAAAATTATGCCGGTTTAGGCTAACTTGTAAAATAAAATAAATTAAGAAATTTTATAATCGCGAATTTTATCTATTGTTCCATATTTTCGATGATATAGTTTTTTGTTTCAATCGATTTCCGCAAGGAAATCAACTCTTCAGGTCTGCAAATAAACTAATAGAAACATGGAAGTTCAGTATTCTCAGCATTCGAAGATTTCGCTTCTAAACGCCTTACATTAACAAGACCTGCAGCGGCATCAGAGACTTCAACTTCTTCTGCTCCACATTCGATGGCATCTTCTGTAGCTAACTCCTCAATATTTTTTGATGAAACAAAACGCTCCTTACTGACGGTTGCTGCTGTTCATGTGGATAACCTTTTTCAAACATAGAAGTGTGCCTAAAGAATTTTCAAATTCAACTGGTTACAGCTGTTAATCTGAAAAAGACTTTCTAGAATCGAAAGGCAGTTGACGTTACAATTTAATATTTTGTTTACTAGCTTGTATCTAAAGGAATACCAAATTTTGTAGCGTGGAGTTTATTTTGTCGAAAATATTGAAAGTGCTTAGAGAAAGGGTTTACCTGAATACTCGTGTTGCTTCTTTTACTTACTTAGGTGCTGGTAAACCGAACAAACATATATTTTAATATTTTCATGAATCTTAAATGATAATAAAATATAATATTATTTTTTATATTAATTATCGAAACAGTAAATATATTAATTTCCTTTCTGCGACAACCTTACGCTGATCACATCCTTAAGTTGGTCACAATCTTTTGTGGGAAAAAAGGCTCGATACTTAGATTATATCTTACACATACACATGCAATAAATATAACCAGAGAATAAATTCTTTTCTTTTAAAGCGCACTTGAGATTTGAAGCCACTCGGGCGGATAACTTGTAAAATGAAATAAGTTTAGTTGGCGTATTTTCCACAACACTATACATACATCTAGAGGAGATGATAGAAGAGCAAAAGCGACCAAACCAAGTAAGAAGAATCGGTCACAATCAGGAGACCATTAAAAAGAATAACAATTTCTTCTATATATATTTTTATATATATTAATAAAGCTATTTTAAGTATATAATAAGACTATTATATAAATAAAGCTATTAATATTTAAATATAAATTATATAAAATATAACAAATATCAATTTATTTATTTATATACTTATTTCATTTAATGATAACATAAATTACAAACTAGAAATTATTTGATTCGTAAATGTACACACACACGCTCGCTCACGCTTCTTCTTTACGTAAATAAATTTGTGATATTTGCTAAATTTGGAGTTTACAGTAAGAATATTGTAACATAATTTGACAACGCATAACGCCGGCATTGTTAATTAAAATATCTAAATGTGACTGTTCTTTTTTGAATCTGAAATTGATTAAAGTAAAATTTGCATCATATTTGCACTAATGTGTGATTGTAGTTACTCGTCTACAAATTTATGTATAGAATCCATAGAGGGTAAATCGCATTTACGACAATAAACATTTTTATTGCGAGTTTCTAAAACAATCTCTTGGCGTGCCTAAAAACCGAGTCTATTTTAGTCTAATCTTGTTAACTATTCTTAAATGCATACCTCTTCTCGCTTTTTCATGTCTCGACATGCCATATAAACTTTTGCTCCCCGTTTGGCTAGTTCTCGAACCGTTTCTTTGCATATTCCTGTGTTTGAATCCGTAACAATGATGACTTTACCGTCAGCACGGTTTGGTTTATCAAATTTGCCGCCTTGCATTAGGTCCCTATGATAAATAGAAAAAAAAGGTGAAATCTATTTTTCTATTAAACTTTTTTTCCTTTACTTGACGACGCAAGCTATGCCCACAGCTGTGCCGGTTACACTTAACCAAAATATTGGACGACTCTTGGACGGGTGAGGGACATTTCATACTATATGCGGGCAGTTATACGGACAGATTGGTTGTTATCAGTAAGGAAGCAAAATACTTCCTTCCAAACTGTATAATTATAAAAGCTTTCTTTCACAAACTTGCTCAATTTCTGCCATTTCTGTCTACGCCTTCCCTCTGGCATGCTTACTGCGATAATGGCTACACACTTTTCATAGAAGCAACGATGCTTCGAAATATATTTTTAAGGAGTCGCTCCTCAAACATAGGAAAAACTTTATTTAAATATAGATATTTACCTTAAGAAAGAGTCGTGTTAGGTATATTTTACAAAAAAAATTCGAAGCAATTCATGCTAAACCTTGTTGTAGGAGTTGTTGTTGTTGTTGTTGTTGTTCTAGTTGTATCAAAAATCTGAAATAGTAACTATTTAAAAAAAGGCGCAGATCGTAAGTTAGCTTGAAGATGACGTTTAGAAGCTGAAAAGAAAACTATTCTTAAGGCCTTCAACGTTTGCGTTCAGGCGTTTGCGGAAAATACATTCAATCATTTTCACTTTTCATTCATCCGAAGGAATAATTGATTTTGTATAGACTAAAATATATATTTTTTTTCCCAAAGGTTGATTTTCTTTCTTTTCGCATATTAAGTTCCACCCCCAAGTTCATTCCACAAATTAAGTTCCACATCTGGGTTTTGTTCCCAATGATATCCGACAAATTCGCAAAAATATAAAAGAAAAAAGAACGTATATATAAAAATCAAGAAACATAAGCGAAACTTGGGAATAGTTATATTTCATTTCCAAAATAAGATAAGGTTCGAATTGTCCTTTTTCTTTCACATATAACATAACGCATTTTACAACGGTTTTCTTTTAGATTTTGCGCAACATATTCTACACAATCTTATCTGGGGCCTTAGTAACGGCTGCTCTATATGTAATGAATTTACAGAAATGCTTGCATTATTTTATATTTTCTCGACCTGACAGTAACATCGGATATTTTGCCTTTTCGTTGTAGCAGGAAGGCGCCCTCCCGATCACTCTGTAACCTGCTATTAACACTAGTGTAGCATTACTAATTTCAATTGAGAGCAAATTTGACTTTGGTTCTTAATTACAATTTAATTTTATGCGAACTAATTACGTAAAACTGAACAGTAAAAAATAAAAGTCTAAAGTTCAATGAAATTGCAAGATTTTGCATTGTACCCCTAACGCATAATGGGCTAACGCTAAAACTGAATCTTTGGTAGTCATAGTATATTTGCGTTTCTCCCACACATACGTATTTTTCGGTCTAAATTTTGATTACGTTGCTCGTCCTAACTTTGCAATCCTTCCCCATATCGGAAAAAACATCTTGCATTGCCAGCAATATCAATCATAGTTCTTTTTCTTACAAATTGCCTATTCATCATTGAACTCTTCAATAGACTATCTTCGACTACTTGTCTTGAACAATTGAATGCAATTGAACTAAAATTTATCTTAATCGAATTAATCGCTTGCAATGTGGCATAAGCAACTAATGATTAGAAGTTTTTCTTTGATATGTCTTTAATCCACAAATTTTGTTCATTACTTGAATTTTATGTATTGCCTGGAATATTGGAATTCATGAATTTTTTTTCATTAATCAACTTTAAAAAGCTTATTTATTTTCCCATTAATTTTTCTATGAGAGAAAACTTATATAATATATATGTATATATATATATATTGGGTGGGCGTGGCTACTTTGTTCATGTCGTGTCTGTTATCCATTCAACTTCATTTCGGCTGCCAAGGCGAGACAAAGAATCGCGTACATTACGCGATGTTCAGTCAAATAAGACAAAATTTTCACAAATCGTATAATTTCTTTTTTCACAGGTTCAGCTACTTGCAGAAGATTTGTTTTTTTAATGACACAGAAAAGGTGTTCGGTTATTATATTCCTATTTAGATGACCATAAACTTACCTTAGCCTATGGAAGTAACGCATTCTGCTGAAGCGGAGGCATGGAGGCGTGTGCTTGTTTTTTAGTCTAAAATGAAATCAAAAGAAATGAATAAATTATATAACATAATAAGTAAAGATAAATGCAAACTTACCAATGGCACACAGCGAATCTTACATCACATGATCCGGTTAGTGGAGAGTTGGACTTCATTTTTTTTTTATGTGAAATAGAAGAAATAAATAAGTAATATACAAAAATATTTATATAATATTATAATTACCTTTACTCTGCTGCGGACTTTAATTTAATTATTATTATTATATTTTTCTATATATTAAATTGATTAAGTGGCGGACCTTCATACCTTATGATGAGGCGACATCTCTTGTTTTTTAATTTAAAATTAAATAGAAATAAGTAAATAAGTTATAAATAAAAATATTGTTTCTTAATATATATACCTTCACTTTACTGCATTTAATACACAATTCCTTGTTGAAATGCTGATCGATGTCCTGCATTTTGTAAACTAAAATATAATAAAAATAAATGAATAAAGGTTGAAATATATTTAATATATTACAGGAATATATTATAGGAATATATAATATTTTAATAGTTTACCTTAGAATGACGTTATGTTGTGTCTACCGTCTCTCTCAAATTTCTCCCTGTCAGCAGCATGCACAACGCGTATCCAAATAAATTTATCCGGCTTTGAGCCGGACTCTCCTCCAGTAGCGCTGGCTATGCTGTTGATAAGGACGCATGCAACGCGTAGCAGAGCTTAAGTCAGTCTCGTCTTTTATTATGCCGATAGATTCAGAGTCATTTTCTGAATTTATGTCTAGCCTGTTCGCCTGTCTGATATATGTCCATTAAAATTTATGTTCAAGGGATACTTTGATGAAGTTTGGTACATTGATTAAACGCTTTTGGAAATGGTTGCGATCGGTCCACTTACTGGGCCACTCCCCATTCTGTTTGGAATTTTTATACAAACTATTGAGAATAATAGACGCTTATTCTCAGATATAGGCAATTTTTATACGCTTATTCTCAGATGCAGGCAATTTTTATACAAATACATGTTCAAGTATTGAAAATTGTAAACAAATAGGAGTATTTCCAAATTGGTGTCAAAACTTTGGAGCAGTTGGCGCAATTTCGCTTTCGTATAACCGTTCCTACGAAAATTGAAACTTTACATGGTGAAAAGGTCGAATTTCAAATACTTCATGGCGAACATTAGTTCACAATAGTAAATTGACAAAGAAATCTACCTTCCCGAATTTGGACCGCGTAAAACATGAATTTGACTCCCTTTTTCTACACTGCTCTCAGTTATTAATGCATTGTTATGCAAAAGTTGGCTACAATGGTAGCTGAGTAACATCTTGGCAATAATCTTCTAAAAAAAAATGAGGTGAGAGCTTTTTAAATTTAAAGTCTCATGTAAATAAGTTTATCAATCATTTTTTAATTTTTTCGATAGCAATTTTGGTCTTTTTAAGAAAAAAGATTTTTTATTAACATTATTAAATCTTCAGATTTTTATTTGTTTCATTTCCACTTCATTTTCATTGTACGAAAATTTTGTTGCTATATTGGCAGACACGCAAAATCTTAAATGTAAATAAAACTTTTTTTGCACAGCTTGAAATTCAGTTGCTCCAAAAGAAAAACAAAAGCCTAAGTGCGTGTGTGATTAAAAATGGACAAATCGGAACACAGAACAATTGTAAGGTTTTTAACTCTGAACGATTATCCACCAAAAGAAATACACAAACGAATGGTGGGAGTTTATAAGGAATCTGCTCCAGAATTTTTAACAATCAGAAAATGGATGGCCGAATTTAAACGCGGTTGTAGTTCGGTCGAAGATGATCCACCAGAAAGAGTTCCTAAAATTGAGGATACAGAGGAATAAAAATAGAAAAACAAACATGCATCTGTTTGTTACTATTATTATAATGAAAATGTGTTTAGATATTTGATAAAAGCAATAAATGCCGAGTTTTTCCCTTTTTTTCTTAAATTGTTTACATTGCGCGTTGCCATATCTAAGTAATTTTTTGTAAGCATGTAACAATACAATTTTTTTGTGTTGGCAAACTATAGAATATTTTTAAATCCTATGAACTGTATTTAATTAAACCATTTCATTTTTGAATTTTGGACGTAAGAGGTTTTTCTCTAAATGTCTATAATAAACCAAAAAAACCGTATCACTCGTTCACATTTTTTGAAAATTTTTTTTATAAATTTAATTTTAATTATTTTTATTTCTTCGCGATTTAGGTTGCCGCACTTTCGTTGCCGAAATCCAATAAATCGAGATGTAACCGCAAAATTTCCGGTTTATCCAATTCAAATTTTTTTTCATATTCCTCCATAATTTTCAGAAGTTGTGTACGCTGCAGTGCGATCTCTTGTAATTTTTTACGATGCTCAACATTCTCTTGCAATACTTGATCCAATTGTTCCCTTTGATAATCCAACTGAAGTTGTAAGTAACGTATCCGATTGCCATTTAAATGCATGCGTATCGGTCGTGTGAGCTCTTTGGGAGATTTATTCCACATTTTCCTAAATATATTATAAAACAGAATTTCAGAAACAATTTGTAAAATATCCAATCCTTCACTTAAATTTACCAATCCTTCCCTTCGTATTCTTTAAATTTTTCTTTGTACATCTCCAAAGATATTAAACTTTCCGAAACACCGCTGCCCAACCAGAAATCATTCCACTTTTTTAAGAGTTTCTCTAACAGCTTCTGACGCATATGTCCAATTACAGTTTCCATGTTTTTTATTTGAAGATCATCACTCTTTAAGAGGGCTCTGTTAAATGGCTGCAGATGTGCAGCATTTAAAGAAAACACCATTTCGCGGTATAATTGTTCGTAAGTTTTTCGTGCATTTTCGCCAAAATCCTTAAAACGATCATACTGAGCTGCTAGGTCTTGATGTGTTGGGGTTTTATTCTCACCTTCAGTTTGAATAGACATGATATTATTTACTTTATCTAAATTTTTTAGTTTTACGAAAATTATAATAATTGCTTTTACTTATTCTTTTTTAAGAATTGCCAGAGTTGATTTTTTCTTCAATTCTGCTTTGGAGCTAACAGTGTTGCCATCTTTATTCTTTAATCTATTACAATTCTACATTTGTGCTTTTGTCATTTCTCTCTTGGTAATTGACGCCATTTGCAATTTCTATGTTACCTACTCGCGCATTTTTTCTTAGTTGTTTTTTCCGCTTGTTTTGTGTAAGTGAAGCCGCATAAAGAATTTATGTTCTTTTATTGAAGAGAAAAAAAACGGAAAATAATAAAAAAAAAATTTACTAAATACAGAAAAATAGAAAAAAGCAAAAATTTAAGTGTGAAGTGTTTGCAAATATTAATACAAATCTAAATCTCTTTTGTTTTAAGGCAAATAGTTGAGTCAAATCAAAGGTGAGTAGATTATGTACAGCTTGAGGAAGAAGAATTTAAGAAAAATGTGTGAAAAACGTAACAAACTGTGCAACAATCAACAAAATGGCATTAATTATTTAAGAAATGAATAGAATTTCATCAATTTAGTATTTTCTCTCCCTATACATATATATGTATAAATATGTGTACGACTTATATCAAATTGCTTTGATATTGTTTGCCTCGCGTATTGCTTGCCCTCATAATAATTGGCAAATCAACGCTTCAGTGCCTTTTGGAAGCTTCTTTTATATTACAAACCGCTGCCACTGGTTTTTGGTGCTATTATTGTGTAGTATTTCATTTTATTTTTTGTTTTTAACTTGAATGTATTCTAGTTTTTATCGGAGCAATCTTTCCTTTTTTTTGCTTTGTCATCTTAGGTTCACTAGAGCCACCCAACCACCTAATTTTAACAGCATAAATAAATGTTTTTGCATATATTTATGTATATATATATATATATATATATGTCACTATTCCTTCTTAGTCGTTGTAAAATCTTTTCCTCGTGTTTCTACACAGAGATTCATTTTATTCGCCCGGTTTATTTTTTCTTGAAAAATTTGTGTTTTAACCTCTGTATACTTAGATGTTTTCTTTACGCAAGCGTTAAATGAAATGTAATCAGCGTTGCATCGTGTCTGACAACTGGTAAAGAAGTAATTATTTGAAATGATTATGACATTAAGTGTTATTTATAATGTGGGCCCTTAATGAAAAATATTGGAAACATTTTGTTACCAGGATATAAATATTATAGAACGATTTCTCATTTTACTTTGATCACGTTTGGTAAAAATATGATGATTGAGAGCGATGCGCTTTTCTTCTTAATTGTAATGATAAGCTACTTATCGTCACTTTGCCTTCGGTAAAAAGAAGTTTTTTTCTTTTTCGTTAACACACACATGCATGAATAGTGAATTTTTCCTTTACGCAATGCTCATTTTATTTGTTAATTAGTTTTGGCTCGAGAGTTTGGCTTAAGATTTTCGATTCATATCGTGAAGTTTTCTCTGTATGTGCTCTATGAGAGATTGGAAAGCATGCATGAAACTTGTATAGTAAAGCGAAGACAAGATTTTATAGTTCGTATTATATTAATTATATAAAATTTGCAAAAGTTGTGTCTAAATCAATTTAGCTCCAACGTATCAGCATAGCATTTATTCGTATCTCTGGAATATGGAAATTTCTCTGATTAGATGCAAAGTTGAAACAGCTATGAAAACCTAACCACAGACGCAGGCGCAAAAGCCCGCCTAAAATTTTGCTAAAATGCTAAAATGTTAAAGAAGAAGAAGAAAAAAAGATAAGCATTTCTGAAAGGTTTGAATCTATACATTTTAAAAACATACCTTCACCTGTGAGTGTTTTTCAAATTTTTTGAACATTTTTTAAAGCATATGTTCATCTCTTTTTTGGATACGTCAAATATCTATCAAGCATCAGAAACCTTATAAACTATACGCATTCTGATTTGACTATGCGCTTATATCTGTGCGGTCATTAACTGGGGTTATGATTATCGGCTAAAAGATTCTTCACATTTTTGTCATGTCAATTTCGAAGGCTACCAATATTTGATTTGAGGGTTCGCCTACAAATAGCAAAAATGTTTCTTACGATTTATTAATATTTATTATTTAAGATAGAGTTCTCCTCGACGTCTCTTTGACGCAAGCCCAGTTCTGTTTTCAGTTCCTTCAAAAAGAGAAGAAAGGTTAATGCCTGCCATTTTATACATTTTCATCAGGATAGCTTTGAAGATCAAGTATACAGGTTCTAGGATTAGTTTAAATTTACGGCCTCCCCAATCCTAGTTGGAATGTTAATTTTTTTCTCCTCATTTATATCAAATGCCTACCGTAACAATTAAATCAATCTGTCATTTTGTTTGGATGCAGTAGGAACTCGATCTGTAAAGCAAATCGGCAAAACCCTTAACTTTTTCAAATAAGATCGTAACTGCGACGTTAAAACTCTCACTCAAACAATTTTGAATCGGGGCATGTACGCTCGAAATTAGCAAAGATTTCCTGTAAGATGGCTTAAGATCTCGACTAATTCCTTCAATTAAGCAGTAAACTGTGTCGACCTCTACAGCGTTATATTAGTACGCTCGTCTAACAAAGAGTGTGTGTAGTATGATATTACTTTGTAATGAAATGTTTTGACAAAATGATGAAAATGATGAAAAATATTTTCTAGTAAACATTATTATGACAAGTACACATTCATAAAAATAAAATTTTGATAAGGAACTGCGATAAGGACGGATGGACGGATCATGACGTATGTAGTCGTCATGACTACTTAACTTGTTAAGATGGAGACAAAGTCTTTAAACTCTCATTAAGAAATTTCTCATCTTTTTGAAAGCCTTGAAATGTGCGGACGTTTACCTAGAATTAACAACACAAACCACAAAGTCGGTTAACTTCTTAAATTAATTTATTTATTTCTATATTTAAGTAGGAGAAAACAAAAACTTAACTACAACATTTCGACTGTGCAGTTCCTTACCAATGAGACGAATTATAATACTCTTAAGCATATATACTTATTATTAAGATTTAGGGAAAGGCAAAATACTAGAATATTCGAGTAAATAGTACTTGGTAGAGTACTGGGATAGCGGACATAATTACAACAAATTACCCAAATGTTACCTTAAACTGCTGCTAAGAAATTTCTTTGTCATGAGGTTATATAAAAAATGCCTGCGGGTATATGCGATACCCACTCATTTTTTATTATACCAATCGATCTAGAAGGTGATCGTACATGTCTGCCTGGCTTGAATTCTTTTGTAAATATTTCGCGTATTGGGCCAAAGGCTAACTCTATTGAAAATGATTCGAATCGGATCACTTTTTCGGCCACTTCGCCTATGAAGTCTTATTTTGAAAAGTCGTTATATGAATAACTCTATAAAACGAGATGGTGTAGAGTACTTAAAGGTCGGTCGGATCGTGGCCACCATAATGTTTTTACGTATTTTCAACTTACTTCCAGATTCGCTTAGCCACCTCCTCGGTATTCATTGAAATCATGAGTAAGCTTTTTAACAAAAATAAACCAAAAAAAAAATAAAAAAATAAATTACAATTGAGAAAATCAACGACTTGAGTAATGGTCGTCTTTGTTAGTCAATTAGTAATGTATTTGCAGGCATCAGTTTCACAATTTTGCTCTTTTCTCGGTTCGATAGAATTAAATTAAATTAAGTGAAACTATACAGATGGGCTTTTGGGCCTTTTGGGAATAATAGAATTGAAACTTTTAAACTTTCCTAAAGGAGTAGTCCCATCTTATGAATTAGTTCAAATGAATCAAAATAAATTTACTCTGCTTTAGAGTCATGCCATTTTGACTTTGATTACTTTTCTGCAACGACTTGAGTTGAGCCCATATTTAAACTTATTTTCCTAAAAATACACTTGGAAGAAAATCCTGCCTATTGGTGCTCTATGCTGAGGATTAATAAATCTAATAAACTCTTACGGTAAGTCCTACCATATCATGATCACTGAAGAAACATACTAGAAAAGCAGTTTATATTCGCCAATGAAATAGCAAGAAATAGTAAGACGGACGGAAGGATATGGATATAGGGACTTGAAATCTTTACTTGATCTTGACTTGAGGTATAGGGACGCACAACAAAAACATTTGGAAATATTCATTCTAAATTGTATACAATATTGTGTTCATGTCATGTATTGACCTTTTACTGTTTAATCTTTAAAGGGATCACATCTGGCTTTGCTTTCTCTCTCGCTCTATCAAAAAGTGAAGAAATTCTTAATATGAGAAATATTTTCTGTTTCGTTAACAAATGATTCATAAAATTGTTTGTAATTTTTTTAGGCAAATAAACAGACAGACAGACAGACATACGAACAAACATCTCTCTGCTTAGGTCATGTTTAGGTATTTAAAGTAATTGCTTTTGCCATTGATGATGTGTGCATTTGTCGATAAGATTATGTGCATATACTTATCGTTTGTTTATACTGATTCCGACAGGTTGGCCGATGTTCAAGCAAATTCGGTTCATTTTTTTTATTTTTTTTAGTTTAGTTATTTAACTACATTTGTTAGTGGGCACACACACGCACACACGACTCTCCTGCACTAATATACTTTAATGTTGCTCTGCTTACATATACATGTTTTTTTTTTGATTATGTTGTTATTCTTGTGTATTCGCATTATTATTTATAAATTCGGTGAATAAATTTATTACAAAATATTGAAGTTGTTCGACATTGAACAATGGATTCCTTTAGAATTTAAGATGTAATTGGCTATAGACTAATGCGCGCGCTTGCATTTGTGTATGCGTGTGTTTATTTGGGTGCTTTAATGTAATTTTTGTTTGTTATAATCTTTCTTCATTATCATCATTTTTTATAACAAATCATCTCTCCCTCTGTCTCTCTCTCTCTCATCCTCTCTTGATTTCACTATCTCTCTGCCACCATTCACATCATTATGTTATTTATTTTCATCCTATTGAGGTTATAGAACAAAGCGAATAAATGGGTGTATATAACAAGCAGTTAGCTAGGTTTTGCTAGCATGTAGCGCATAGCGAAGCAATAAAACATGAAGTGCTTGCGTAAAATAAACCAAGTATTGCGAAAAAATACCTTAAATGGTTTTAACCACCAAATTCGGTTATAATATATATATATATATATATATATAATATATGCTCTGACCCCCACCATAGTTTCACTTTATTAATGAAAACGCAACCACATTTGTGCATAACTTTTTTTTTTTTGCTTTTTGTGTTTGTTTTTTTTTTTTTTCCAATATTAACTATTGTTAAAAAAACAATGATTATGTTGTTATTTTTTATCTTTTTGTTTTTTTTCTCATTTGTTTTTCCAGCTTGAGAATTTATCTGAAAGCCTGTTGATTACGTACCGTGTGTAGTCCCTGTATTCTCGCTATATTCGCAC